AGGCCAAACAACAACTACGTCCGACCTCTGTACTGGGCAATCCGCTTCACGGTCTGGATTGTGAATAAGCGAACCCCAGCGATGATGTACAACAAGCTCAACGTTATCTCGTCAACATGCATTGGCGATAGGAATATCGCATCTACATCAACTACTTGCGGTTCTATGAGTACTTTAAGGGCCCGACGTGCATCCCCCTTTTCGTGCATGGACCAAAGTTCAACACTTAAAAAAACAATGAATTAAACGGACGATAAATTTGATGTATAACATGTATGGACACTAGAAGGACCACAGAGAGGTACTGAAGTAGTAGCTGCCAGCTCATGAAAGCCAAAGCTGTGTCGCATGAAGCCTTCTGCTCGAGATAGTTGGTGATCTCAGCACTAAATACGCGTGTTAGGATCAAGATCAATGCCGCTAGCATGGGTACCAGTATCGTTGATTCTTCACCAGGTCGATATGAAATTAAAGTGCTCCTGTATTTCACACTTAACTAATGAATTCTTCATTGCAAATTGAAATGCTAGTGCTGGAACTGGAGAGGCAAGACTTGAACTGCAAGTTGCTTCATTAAATGAACAAACACAAAAATTGGACCAAAACGTTTGTATTATTAATACATAGTATTCCGATAGGGAATTTGGTTTCAGTCCTGATGCTGCGTAACATGAAAATACACCAGTATGCTAAAAAGTTCTGGTTCAACGAAGGATATATTAGAGAACTTATTACTAGTTTCTCGACTACCGGTGACTCAGGATTATGGAGCAACAATTGTCTGAAAAAGGGTCAAGGCCGATGGTCCATTAATATATTCCAGTGGAACATTGAGAACCTTCGTTACACGTATTCCACTGAAGGGGCATCCATTGATTTTCTTTTTCGCGCTATTCCAACAACTAAAGCTCTCTATTTCTTTTTCAGTGGCAATGTGCCACACGAGCTCGGATAAACGTGTACAGTAGACGGCAATTGGTGTCTGACAGGCTAATTGAGAAGAGATATCTGCATTACTATAATGGCGATAGTAGAAATTAGAATTTTGAGAGCTAAAGAGAGTAAGAGGGAATACCAGGATATTTTTTCTCTGAAATTTATACCACGAGATCTGACAGAGGATCCAAGAACAGCTGGTACATGTATTGTAATTTATCGACAATCTAATTTGTTGCTGAAGCCGGTAGAAATTGGTAATGGAGTCGGTTTCAGCAAATTAACAGTCAAACAAAATTCAAGATGAGAACAGTGGCGTTGCGAATGTGGTTTATTTTTAGTTTATTGTTGCTGTTAGCGGTAAATGCCGAAGTGAGTAGATTAAGGTCAATTAAATCTGTCCCCTAAACTCTACTCTAGCGTTGTCCTCCTTGTTGCCCTCTTGTCAAGCGCTCCTGGCCATTCACCAGATTAACCGGTTTGGAACGGTCCATCCTAGAACGTTCAGCCGGTTAACTGAGCCGTGCAGAGTCGGTGTGCATTAACACTCCCACTCACCGCTTTTGCACGGCGTTCATCTTCGTTAAGGATCGCTACTCATCAGCGTTCCTCTTCTTGATTTCGCTTGCCTCGCGAAGGAGCGCTAGCGACTTCGCTCCAAGCGCCTTTGTCATCATGTCCGCAAGTTGGCGCTTCGTGACGACGTAGTCCACCTTGATCGTAGAGCGTTCCACATTCTCCCGAATGAAGTGATTTCGGATATCCACGTGCTTTGTCCTAACGTGATACCCAGTGTTACTTGCAAGTGCGATAGCACCCTGATTGTCCTCCCAGACCTGCGTCGCTCCCACTTGCTCGTGACCCATGTCCTTGGGAATAGCACGTGTCCACAGTACCTCTTGCGTACACAGACTCAGAGCCATGTACTCTGCTTCCGCTGGGCTGAGTGCAACCGTTCTCTGGTACTTGGACGTGAACACAACCGGAGCGTTCACAATCATGACCATGACACCTGATACGGAACGCCTGTCGTCAATGTTGCTTCCCCAGTCTGCGTCCGTGAACGCCTCTGCGTTGACACCTTGCGGTACACTTTGGTAGACGATACCGTGCTGCCGAGTTGTCTTCAAGTACTGCAGGACCCGTATCGCTGCCTTCCAGCGTTCCAGGATTCTCCAGGAAGCGTGACAGCTGCGTTACAACGTACGCAATGTCCGGTCGAGTGCATGTTGTGATGTACATCAGGCATCCGAGCAAGGAACGGTACGGTCTTGACTGCATTTCACGTCGTTCCTTCTCCGTGGCTGGCGACATCATCTTTGACAGCTTCATGTTTGACGCGCATGGGTTATCCAACATCTTGGCGTTCCGTTGGTTGAAGCGTTCTACAATGTCGTCGATGTACCGAGTTTGCTTGATCATCAGCGCTCCAGCTGCCTTATCATGATCAATCTCCATCTCCAGGATGAACTTTGCCTCGCCAAGCTCTTTCATCTTAAAGGCACTCTTCAGAGCGCCCTTTACTTCGCGAATGGCTTCGCGTGTCTTCGCCGCAATGATCATGTCGTCCACATACAGGCACAAGTACACGAATGATTCCCTGGAACGCTTGACGTAGACACACTGGTCGGCTTCACAAATCTTGAAACCGCTCAGCAGGAACACACGATGGATAGTCTTGTTCCATGCACTTGCAGCTTGTTTCAAACCATATATGGCCTTTAGCAGCTTGCACTTCATGCGTTCAGCATTGTCGAGACCAAGTGGGACGTCCATGTAGACCGAATCCACCAAACCATTGTTTAGGAACGCTGTGTCAGCATCCAGTTGCTCCATAATGTAGTCGCATGCCACACACATAGCGAGTACAACTCGAATCGGGTTCATGTGTGCAATAGGAGAATACGTCTAAAAAATCGATTCCAAACTTCTGCTTGAACCCTTGAGCTACTAGGCGTGCCTTGTAACGGATAACACGACCGTTCTCGTCACGCTTTTTGGTGAACACCCAGCGACATCAAATGGAACGCGTAGCCGTTCCACATGGAACCAACGTCCACGTTCCGTTCTGGGAATGAGAGTGTAACTCAGCCTTCATACCCCAACGCCAATTCAGCTGCTTCATCATGGCGATAGATTCTGCGTACGTGTTCGGCGTATCCGGGACGCCTTCGATGCTGGCCGCGTATGCCAACACTGCCTCTGCGAGTAAACAGTCTTCATCGATCCTAGGACGCTTAGAAGACGGCGGATTATCACTACCTCTTTCAGACTGACGTTCCACATCGTCATCGTAGCCGTTTCCAAGCAAAAACACCGGTTCCCGAGGTCGGGTTGAGCGTTCCGTTGCAGGATGGAAGATTATCCGGTCCTCTTGGAACACAGGCGGTTGTGAGCGGTACGTTGCCAGCTCCAGTCCACTCGAACGGCGTTCCTCCGGTGCGTGTAGCTGTGGTAGCCCGGCGTTCCGTTCCGGTTCAACATCGTCCATCTCAATGTCTTGAGCAGGTTCTTCCGCTTCTCCCATCGGTTCATCTTGAACAGATTGTCGTTCCACTTCTGGAGTTGGAAACACGAAATCGTCATTGTTCCTTGTCACATGGAAGATCGTTCCAGAAGCTGGGCGACGGCTGTCCTAGATACCGCCCACCTCACGCTCATTCAGCTTTACCGATCGTGACACCCTGAACTTGGATGCATCCAGTCGTAGACACGATACCCTTTTACGTTCTCTGCGTATCCGAAGAAACGTGCACTTGAAGCTCTTGGGTTCCAGCTTCGTTCTCTTCACGTCATCCACGTGAGCGTACCCTTGTGATCCAAACACGCGTAGGTGTTCCATCCGTGGCTTCACTTGGAACGCCAACTCATATGGCGTGACATCCGAGTTGGATGTGTTCGTGGAACGGTTGATAAGGTACACTGCAGTACTCACCGCTTCAGCCCACCACTCCGTCGACATAGACTTGTAGTGTAGCATGCTTCGTGCCTTCTCCATGATGGTACGGTTCATGCGTTCCGCAACACCGTTCTGCTGAGGGCTGTATGGAACGCTACGCTGATGCACGATACCGTTCCGTTTGCATAGTTCCAAAACTGTCTTGTTTACGAACTCCGTTCCATTATCGGAACGAAGACATTTTAGACGTTCCCCCTACTGTGTTTCGTACAATGCCTTGAACTCCTTCAGTTTGCTGCCCACCTCGCTCTTGCTCTTCATAAAGTACGCAACGACAAACCTTGAGTAGTCGTCTACGAACGTCAGAACATATTTGGCACCACCCTTTGAGATCGTTCTCATTGGGCCCATTACGTCCGTGTGTACTAGTTCCAAGACACGCGTCGTTCTCGTTAGCGATCGTGACGGGAACGTCGTCACGGTCTGCTTTCCCTTCATACATCCACAACACAAAGTCTCGTTCCAATTTTTCACATGTGGGATACCAATTGTGGAACGTTGAGTCTTCGCCAGCAGCGTCCTTGTTGGGGTGACCCATGCGA